TCTGGAGGACCTCATTTCCAGCCCCAGCTCAATGTCTTAGGCAAAACAGCAAGGCGACATGATCAGTCTCAAGGACCTCATTTTCAGCCCCAGTTCATATCATCGCATGCAAACATTGTGATTTTTACCCCAGGCAGATGACTTAATACGCATAGTAAATTCTCTTTTCTGATTCAGTTAGAGTCCTGAAAAAGAAAACAAACCTTATACATAAGTCAAAGTTAAACAGACCAAGTGCCAGGTTTGCATAGATAGGGGTTTATTGGGATACTAGTGGTATAGTATCGGCCTACCTCTGAGTTCCCTGCCTTCAGAGTCCCGCCTGGGCTCCGGCAGAGCCCCCGCAATCGGTGGGTCAACCTCCCACGAAGGCCTTGCCGCGGTCCTACGAGTTGCAATCCCGCCAACCGCCTTCCTCTCCAAACATAGACGAGACTGAGAGTAAGAAGGATAGAAGAAGAGAAGTCAGACGCTCGAGATACAAGAAGGGGCCAACTCAACTCACATGAGAGGGCCTTGGTGCCTTCAGATCCTGAGGGCCCCGCAATGGCAGCCAGTTGCAAGCATCCACAGGCAAGTTCACAGTTCAATGTTGGTCTCACGCCGCTCCTCTCCGATTGTGTGAGCATGCACAGTCCAACGGCAAGCCCACAGTCCACCGCTGGTCCCCGACTGTGTGAGCATGCTCAGTCTAATAGCAAGTTTACAATCCGCTGCTGGTCCCTGACTGTGAGAGTATGCAGTCCAACAGCAAGCCCACAGTTTGCTGCTGGTTTGTTGCTGCTTTCTTCAATTGTGTGAGTAATGCACAATTCAATCAGGTAAATCTACCGTCTTCCGCTGACCTGCTCCAACTTCCCTCTGACTGTGTGAATAATGCACAGTCCGATAGGTAAGTCTTCTATTCGTCGCTGGCCTGTCGCTGCCTCCTCTGACTGTGTGAGCATGCACAGTCCAACTGGCAAGTCCACGGTCTGCTGTTGGTCTGCTGCTGCAGTGCTGCTCATTTGATTGTGTGGGCAACACACAGTCGAACAGGTAAGTCCGTTGTCTTCTGTTCGTCTCACCTTACTTCCTTCAGTCGGTCCAACGTCTCACCGTTCACTGCGTTCTACAGGTAAGTCTTCAAATGTCGCTGTCCCTCTCGTTACTACCTCCGGTCTGTGTGTGCAGCGTACGGTGCAACAGGTGTGTCTCCAGCCTCCTGCTGGCCTGTTGCTGCTTCCTTCAACTTTGTCTTCACATCAGTAATGGTAACTTCACACATCAAAACCCATTCGCTGTACCAACTATAACAGTAGTTCTCATGGTCAACAGATCGTAGGATCCCGTGAAGAGCAAGGGCAAAAATGGATGAAACTAAGAGTGAATCTTCCTGCGTAACCAGCGGAAAATACACTTTTCTCGCTGAACGYACCTAACTGTAATCACAGTCGGATCTGGGTCTGATTAAGCAAAAGCAAAAACATAATCTTGATTCTCAGCCTCCATAGTCATGTGTCTCTTCTCTCACTCTTTAACTTTCCCTAATCAGCCTGCTCCTGGCCCGTTTCACGTAATTCCACAGGCTCAGTGTAAGGAGGTCAACCGAGGTGGATCTGCAATTCCAGGCGGCCAAACTCATGAGGCAGCGTGGCTGTAGCATAGGCTTTGCAATCGTGGCTGTTGTACAAAAGCATATCTGATGTCGATAATGAGGGACACAYGAATCATAAGAGGAAGAAATGACTAACGGGATGAATGGCTATGACGC